ATATTAACCTCCAAAAAAGGGTCACTTTATTCACCAATTATTTGTTTAATTATTTGAACTTCACTATTGTTTGGAACATTTTCTGGTGAAAAAGTTAAAGGTTGCTGGACGATTCCAATAGAAAAGCTAGGGCAATGGAAACTCAAATAAACTCTGAAGTTCACAAAAGATGACACAGCAGAAAGCTTGACACCAGGCTGCAGGGATTCAAGCTGGACCAAGCATCTCTGTTTGTTGCATGACTGAGCGGTGAGTCACTCGGTGAAGCGGGCCAAGTCTCAGTGGAGGAAACGGCACCATGGGAGGGAAGCACACTTGCATCCATTTTTCTATAGCTGTGCAGATATTACCAGATGAAATCCCAAATCTTTTTCCTGCCTCGACTTTGCTGACAGACACCTGAAGTTCTGCTGACTAGAGACGCCATGGGACATCCATCGGTGGACAATCAGCGAGGTTTAGAGATCCACAGCTGGGGAAATTGGCACAGATACCTGGACCGTGCAAAAACTTCCCACTGTCATGCATGTTTTAAAACAAGAAGCGAGGCAGGGATAAACTGAAAGCACACAAGGATACAGTCATATTTTCCGTTGATCTCAAAGCCATTTGGCTGGATGTCATTAAATAGTTGAAGCAGCACGCTACAACTGGCAGACGAACTTTACAACAAAAGCAGTTGAGCAGACGGGATATGTCCTGCTGCAATAATGTGGAGAAGAACAGACAATTTCACGCCACATCCGGCTAGATAGCATCTATTGTGATAAAAGAGTGCAAAAGAATAAGGTAATCTGGATTTCATCCCGGCAGATCTGCTCCATGGGAAGACAGTGCATTGATTTTCTCAAATGCACGTCTTTAAACATACTTCTTATTCTTTTACTGTTTTCTTGTGACGGCTCCAACACGTTACAGAATCCATGTAAATGTCTGCTGTGATGAGATTTTCTGCTCTGTGGACCAGAACTGCTCATAACTAGCTAGTGAGAATCAGCAGACCTCGTAAAGAACAACAACATTACCCAGCTCCTCTGGAATGTCAACTCAGAAAACATTGAAAGCAAAGGACCCAAACTCAGTGCAGATGGCTAATTCCGTATCCTCCTGCTGTTTAAGCCAGCTTTTCCTGTCTTCCTCTTTTCATTTTTAACTTTTTTATGTCAAAAATAAAAAGACAGCATCTCTCCATCCCGTCTAAATCTGCAGATTCCAGCTGCTGATGAAATGGCTTTTGATTAATCAGGCTCTTCTTATTCAATCAATGATAATTACAGAACAAACAGAGTAATCAACATTATTCAAAAGAGGCCAAAAAAGGCAAAGGTGGACACACTCTTAAGCTATTTCATTAATTTACCAGGCTTTTGCTCCCTATTAATCCCATGCAACAATGAAGCCAGAAAATATCCATGCAAAAATAAAGCAGGACTACAAACATGCTAAGAACCTTTAGGCTGATGAAGTTAAGTTTTTTTATTCTATAGGTAAAAATACTTACTATATAGCATTTTCATAATGTAGAATTTAAAACTAAATTAAAGTTATTTTAATCCAGCTGTGACAAAATGCTTAATAAGCTTTTAATTCATTTGTAAGACTCTTAAAATTTCATACCTTTCAGACCGAACAGAGGCTTTACTCTGATTTTCTACCATGGGAATAAGACAAACTGATTCCTTTTCAATATTATATGACATCAGAGTTCATAAACATAACTTAAGTTTTTTGACTTGATAAACAAGCAGAAATAATGCTTTACAGGAAGTACAGAAAATATAGGCCAAGCAGTTTAAACAGACGTCTAAGCTATTTTATGTCAGCTATCAGATAAATGGTGAATTTCTTAAGGAAAAACAAGAAAAAAAAGGGAGGGGAAAACTAACACTGACGATATACATAAAACATGAAACACACTCAGGAAGCAGAAATGCTGCTAGAGGTTCCTAGAAAGGAAGCTCTTTAGTCCATGCAGGCATTTTTTTTTCATGCAGGCCACCAGAACAGAACCAGACTTCCAGATAACAGGAACGCCGAATGTATTTCAGCAAAGTTGCTAAGCGCTATCCTTTTGAGAAGTCATTCTTTTTTTTGGCAATGGCTACATTTAAATGAACATAAATAATCGGAGAAAACGGACAATCGGCCTAAAAATATGGAATGTCAACAATCGGAATATTCTGATTTGTCTGATTTATGCAGATTATTAATCCAATCAGCCTCCATGTAAACACAAATCATTCTGAATGAGGCAAGCTGACCTGAGTGGGCATGTGCGCATCAACGTGTGACATTTGTGCCTTGAGAGGATAATTGCTCTGGCTAGCTGTCATCAGAACATACCAATGGAACCTTTTCAGTCCAATCTGATGTTTAATTCTGATTATTTAAACAGTGCAATCTTTTTTTGTTTTTCAATCCTAATGCATTTCAATCTTATCATGAAATGTGGGCATGTACCCATAGCTATCGATACCATTAGATCAAAGTGTGGCTATATTATAGAAATCGGACAACGTGGATTTTCTGCTTGTTTTAGAGCCAACTACAATATGCATGTAATAAATAATTTTAAAAAATAATGTATTTTGCAACATTTTATCCAAATGCCAAAAGAAGGTTTTTACAATTGGATATTTAGGTCATGTAAGTCAATAGTTTAATGCGCAACAAATGAACAGAGGTGCTTGTAAAACGTTAAGACCTACAACTTTTGCTGTTTTATATGGGTAGCAGCCATATTGGATACTGAGCTAAAGGCTCCTTAGCAACAGGAAACACCAATGGTGTAGGTTTGATTTCAACTTCTCTATTTGATAGTTTGCTTGACCATTTTTCCAGCAGTCTTCAGAACTCCTGCCTGACTCAGAATATTACTTGTGCGTTCCAATGTGGTCGTGTACTAGTGAACCCTCATCAGCCTCAGCCCTAGTACTGTTGCAATTCACAAGAACAACAGAGCAAGAACAGACAAAGCCCCCGGATGTTGTTCTCGCCCCTCCCTATTTAGCCAGCATGCGTCAGAGCAGACTTGTCCGTTCTTGAGATTGACAGCTGTCCCAGCATGCACTGCGGCAGCAGCAGCTTTCAATGGAGCACTCACAGAGCTGAGAGTGTTAAGTTAAAAGTTATCTTTTCTGTTGCTGTTTCTCAGTAAAAGTATGTTTTAAGATCATCTAAGCGAGAATATAATCATTTAAAGAGTCACAATAAGGTCCATTTACTGATTTAATGCGTAATTAAAAAAATTATTCCGAATTTGAGAGAACCGCGGCAACCAGCGGAGCTCCGAGTGTAATGGCAGCCAGGGCTAACTGCAGACAGTCTGCAGCAGCCCTCTCTCGGCATGCCCGTCTTTAAAGTACCGCTGGCTATGATGGCGATTTTTTTGTTTTATTTGGCAAAAAGTTAATTTTATTTGTGTTTATCTGACTGTGTTAATTATTATTCCCCCACTAAATGAAAAACAGTAAGAAATTATTATTATCTAGATACCACCAATAAGAAGAGGTGTAATGCAGCTCCAGAAAGAGCAGAGCATTCGGCGACGTCACCAGTACGCTTCTGTTCCAATTGACCCATATTTATGCTGCGTGCTCCAAGAACAAACTTGGCGAGGACACGAGTCCGTACTCGCGTTCTAGTAAACTGAGAAACGGCCTTTGTTTCATAAAAGAAAAAACTTTTTTTTTTTTGATAAAATGTATTATACTTCAGAATTATTATTTTTTTGAGATGTTAAAATTGATTCCACAAATCAAAAAATTCTCTCTTGCTTCTTTACATAACTGCATTCAGCAGCTTTCGCCTCTTTTAGAGTAGATAATACTTTGTTTTTTTAACTGGTACTAGTTTCGTAGCGTAATATTATTTGTAGTAAACCGCGGTATTCGAGCTGTAAAAATTTAATTTCCGCTCCTAGCACACACTCACACATAGGGACTAGAAAGCAGCCAATCAGAAAGAGCGAAGGCAGAACTTAAGACAGAACAACCAATGAGAGTTGAGTTAAACAGTGCAGCACAGTTACATGTGCTGCTAATTGAAAGGGACAGGAAGGACAGGGCAGGCACTGACAGAGCGGCAGCAGGAGCTACCAGGCAGCGGAGCAGAGAGACGAATAGAAGCGACTTCTGTGTTATAAACGCTGTATTGTAAATTATAAACATGTTAATCACATTTATTGGTAGGGACAAGTAGGTCGGTCCAAAATTTGGTTAGGGACATGTCCTTATGGTCCCTATGCAAACCTACACCCATTAGAAATACAGACATACAAGTAGATTGTATGATTTCTGAAATAGAAGTTTTATACAGCTCACTGTATTAAGCTATTTAAAATATTTCTTTAAACAAAAAAAATATATCAAATCCTTAATCCTTCACTAATTTTTCACTTTCTAAAAATGTGCATAGATACAAACTTACATGCATTTCTTGCAAATGATTACAACCTTTAGACAAATCTTAGCAAACCTGGACAATAACAGGCTTTTTCCACCCAAATGAAATACAAAATGGCTAATTATATTTAACACCGTGAGCTAAAGTAGTGTTTGTATCCACTCTGGCAGTGTCGTTTGGACAAATTACCACCGTCATGGAAAATAAAAGTGGATTCCAGCTTAAACAAAAAAGTGCGGCTTAGGCCTGTATATGTTTGTGCACTTGTTTCATGTCAAGTAACAAAACACCAGGCGTAAACAAGCGGCACGTGCACGGCATGCCGTGTAACTGGAGGAGCTCCAGTGCAACCGTCCTGCACGTTTCTGCTGCGTTTGACTCATTTTCTAAGCACATGGCACAGATGTCGGCTTTGGAAAAACAAGGCCTGAGCAGATGACTGCGTTGGAAGACAGAAAAACACACTGGGGTCCTCTCATGTTGGTGCTCCTTGGATTAGCTGATGCTGACTTTTTTTTTCTATTTCAGAGTGATTGATTAGTAGAAAATAACAGCCTCATATTTGCTTAAAAGAGACATTTATAGGACATATTTACCTTTTGATCAACTATGGAGCACACCAAGTCCTTGACTGCGGACAGTGAGAGGTCACAGGCCTCCAGGTTCACCGTCTCCCGGGTGAGACCAATCTGCAGCAGGAAGGACACCCCATGGAAGGAGCTGCGGGAGTTGGTGGGGCTGGGGGCACTGTGGCTTCCGTTGGAGAGCCGCTGATAGATCTGTCCGTGCGATCCCAGCGAGGGCGATTGGTGAGGATGGATGGAGTGGAGAAAGGCTCGAGGTAAGGATGGAGGAGAGGAGGCAGACATTGGGTTTCTTCCAGTTGTGGCGTGAGAAGGGGCTGAAGAACAGTGTGTGTGTGGCGTAGGGGGGGGCGGGGGGTGGTAGTTCAGTGAATGCCGGCAGAGAGAGGAACAGTTCGATCCCTGCGGATGGAGTTGTCGCGTGGGGGGTGTGTGCTCCTCATCAGTAGCAGTGAGTTAGCAGAGCGTATTTTTTTATTTGGCCGTAACTGACTCACAAGAGTTTTGATGACAGGATGCTGTCCACCCACCTGAGCTCAGAAAATACATTCATCGTTCAAGAAAACGGGCCAGGTGGTGGAAGGGAAATTTCTCCAAATGATCCAAAGACCTCTGCACCAAACCTCATAACCTGGAGTTCTGCGCCTTCTTTCTTCTAAAGTCAGTAATCCACTCTGACCACGGGAAGCCTGTTCTCACAAACACACACAAACACACTCACGTCATTACATCAATCAATCAATTGCTGTTTACATTATCTCAACTTAGCCTTGAAACTATTTCCTAAGGTTATTCCTAACCTTCCCCCATAATTTAGCCTTTAATTATTTAACTCATTAAAGCAATCCCCTGAAAGAATTTGGAGACACCTTGGAAGTCTTATAAATCATTAATTCCTGTTCATTTGTACATAATGATCCTAACAAACTGTCATTCATCCAGCAGCAGAATGTATTGCTTTGATGCTTCTCAATAGAAACCAAAACTTCTTTTAATTCTACTTTGTACATTTTAAATACTGACAAAAAAGATGCAATCTGTTAAATTGTTGTTCTGAAATATCAAAATCCAAGAAACATAATAATTAAACAACATGTGGAGATTTAAAGGAATATATACTGATGTCTCTCATTTTTACTTTAGTTCATGACTGACATAGTAAATAAGTTTCATATCAAACAAAGATAATAAAAGAAAATCTGTTTTATAACTGATGAATTCATTCACTTAGGGAAACAAAAAAAAAACTTTCTAAATCAGTGAAAATGTAATTCCTTTCCAGCCTTTAATCATGAAGCCACATTTTTTTCTGGATCCGTCTGACTTGTAACAAGCCGTTATAGGCCAAGAATCGGGAATCAAATCCAATACAATTTGTCTACTATAAGAGGCAGAGCCAGTCATGGCTTTATATCTGATCGGAAACAAATTATACTAAATTGCATGTTGTATTTGAATGATTCCAGCAGCCATCTCCTAGTATAGATTTAAAATATTATCACTACATTTCATAATATTGCAATAATGATAAGAACTGATGATGAAATATATTTTTTCCACATAAAATGATACCTGTCATCCATTAGGCTCCTTCTGTCCACAGCTATATTAAGTAGTGCTAAACAGGGCAGAATAGTACGGAAGAGGTTAGGGCCACTGGAAAAAAAAAAAAAGTGAACTGATTTTCTATTTATTTCAGTATAATAGGAGAAAAAAGTCAGAATTCTGACTTTAATCTTTAATCTCAGAATTATTTTTTCTCACAATTCAGACTTTAAGCTCAGAATTTTTACTTTTTTCTCACAATCCTGAGTCTTTTCTCAGAATTCTGACTTTATTAAGCTCAGAATTTTGGATTTTAATGTAGAAGGGCACCATAAAGGAAGAGATGTGGGAGCACTAAGCCAGTAACACATTGGTGGAAAATGACGGTGAATTTTTACATGTCTGAAAGGTACCCGGTGATGCTATTTCATTAGTGGAAGAGCAGAAGGTGATTTAACGCAAGAGAGCTAGTTTAGTCTCTAAAACAGACATGCTACGGCTTAATGCTAACATGTTTGTTCGCTGTCAAAATTCTGAGATTAAATTCAGAATTATGAGATCAAAGTAAGAATTATGAGAAAACAGTCAGAATTCTGACTTTTTTCTCATATTTTACTGATATAAAATTTTAAAAATCAGTTAACTTTTTTTCAGTGGCCCTGATTCTCTACTGTAGAATAGTTAGACTCAAATACATCTTTTTTTTTTTATCTTTCATAACATATTAAAGGTGGATTTAAAATAATGCAGCAAAAAAAGAAAATTAAAAACAATCCACTGGACTTTGTTTTTAAGTTTGAAGATGTTTCACTTCCCATCCAGGAAGTTTTTTTCAATTCACCCCTTTGGAATGGGATGGACCCCTCTGTTCTTTTTAATTGACATGTTTTTTTTTTTTTGATGGGCTACTGTATAAAACCTGGAACTCAACGCTATTCCTGACATTTTAAAATGAAAAAGGTTCCTGTATGGTAAGCAAAAAGTCTTCAAACTTTGGAATCTTTGGAATGATCATGACCTGGATGACTGAGAATAAATAATGTTTTATCAACATGATACATATTATTGATAATATATGGTAATAGACAGCAAAATAAATAATAAAATAAAAAAATAAAAATTTTATTTACTCTGGATACCCATTTGTTCCAAAACTTATCAAGCATCTTTTTCTTAAACAACTTCTTGCAGCAAGTTATATTTGATGTTTTACTTGCTTTTGCACAAAGTTGGATTCAAGACGCATCAGCTGCCTGTTGACATGTTTAATGGGAGGGGAAAAGGTTTGCAAGGTTTTATATTTAGAAAAAAAATTAAATAGTCAAAATATGTACTTTTATGTACTTTTCATTGAATTTAGTTAAATAACCCCACTTATCAATGATTATCGAAAATAAGCCCATTGAAAGCATGTAGTGTGTTTTGGTTTGATGAGCTGACAGCCAGGACCCCCCTCTGGTTGGGATCACATGGTTACACTCCAATGATTCTCAATAATCCTTTTGTTTATAAAAAAAAATAATCAAATAATAAATGCTCGATTTTAATGTTTGTTATAATAAAAAATATTGTTTCCTTTTATTTTTCTGTGATGCATCCAGGAACTCATTTCTTTGTTGACACTATCTTGACATGATTTTATATATATATATATATATATGTATAATTTTATCATTTCAACATTAGAAGAATAAAGAAACGTTTTAATTGGACGTATATACCACTTTGAACCGCACGAACATCTGGACCCAGAGCTTCGGAACATCTGTCCCCCCTCCCCTCCCACTTGCTGGCAGAACCCAAACGGACGCCAGCAAAACAAGTTATACAAGAAACCAAATCTGCTCTTTTCGAGCCCTAATGTCGCCCAGGAAGCCCTTTTAAGTAGATAAACCAGTTTCATCCCCAAACCCGTCGAAATAAATGACACTTTACCTCCACTTCCAGCTAAACGCGCCCGTCCTTCCATTGTGAGACAACTGAAGATGAAACTTTCCAACTCCATCCACTGAGAGAAAGCGAAGCCTAAACTTTATTCCTTTCTCTTTTTTTCTTTCTTTGGACGTCCCTCGCTGCGTCTTCGCTCTGAAACTTAGTAGGACCGGGAAGTTCTTCATTCAGGCTCGCCTAAACGAACCGAGTGGTCCATTTTAGTTTAACTAATCTCTTATTCCAGGTTGTAAATTCATGCGCATCACATTACCCTTCCAGCTGTGACTACTCCCCCCCGTTTGGCTAGTATTGAACAAAAAAAAAAAATCTTTTAAGAGTCCTCGCTGGGGATTGGAGTCTTTTTATTATCACCGCATGAATGAGTTTCCATGTGCGGGGAGGAAAACTTGAACTACAGTCCATGTGAAGCAATGGCGCATCCGCTGGAGACGCTGCGACCACTGCGCATGCGCGGCTCTTTTCCGTTATTTCAACCCAACCGAGCCAAGAAGAAAAAAAAATCCTCCACACGACTCGGATTAGTTTCAATTAAAGTTTAGTGTATTTAGAAGAACATTGTCGCACTATATATTATAACTTGGCTCCATTAACTGCAAACCGAAAATAAAAGACTGTTTAACAGAAAATAGAGGCCTAAACTTCTGAATTTTTTGAAAATTAACGAAAGTTTGTACCAAATATGGCAAGTAGTTTTGACATAAAATCATTGAAGTAATACATTCAGTGGCGGTTCTAGGCCAAATGTACAAGGGGGGCGGGAGGGGTCCAGCGTGTTTTCTAATGGGGTAACAGAAAAGCATGAATTAAAAAAACAGAGCAAGAGATTCAAATATATTAAGAGAGCTACATGAGGTGAAATTTCTATTCAATTAGGTTTAATTACAATTCTATTTCCTATTAAGTCAATATACATTCATAATTTAGGAATTTTACATATTTTTGACAAAATTTAAGTGAAAATTCTATAAAATCTGACTTACAGCATTTTTTTCAAATTTGTTTTGAAGAAAACATTTAGCAAATGAAAACTGGGATCCTATATCAATACCACTGAAGCTATCGCTTTATTGTTTTTAAATAATTATTCAAATAGAATTTATAAAGAAAAAAAAAATGAAATAGATCCAAAGGAGCTATCAGTAACCATGTCTGTTCCAGCGCATATCATCTTTAGAATTTCTTTGAGTATTATGGCTTCAGTACAAGGGCCAGGACATAATCTAGGCCCCCGTCGGCCCCTGTCTAGAACGTCCCATGAAAACATTAATGTATTCTATGCTCTCATTTGTTCAATTTATTAAAATGATCATAAAACATCTTTTAACCACTAAAAATGTAGAGTTGATCCATAATCCAGTTCCTTCTACGTAATTAGGAACAATCTTTTCAGGTTTGTTAAATATCTATTTTTATCATTCTTTTCACATCTACTGGTTATTAGTGGCATTTACATGCTAAAAGTCTTGTATTTTATGCATTGTTTTCCTATATATTTAGAGCATTTTGCTGAAGTATAAGAATAGGAATCTGAAAAATGTCAGAGAAGTTTGTATAAGGCACTCTTTTATCTTGATAAGGCTAATTTAACACCGGCAAATACAGTCTGGGTACGTTTTAGAAAACAAACAGCATCACAAAGACCAAAACAAAGAGAAAATATGTCAGGGACAATGTTTTAGGGCAAGGTCAGGCTATACAGCAATAACACAAACTTTAAACATCCAAGGAGCTCAGATGAGAGACTGTGTTTACACAAAATGTTTTAGTTATATGCTTGTCTAAACTGATTTAATTTATTCTTATGGAATAGCTCTTTTTCAGTGGCTAAATTGAAATAAATGACAAACATAACTTTTCCTTATTTTCCATTTATCTGAACTGTACACCCTTTTAAGGTGGAACATGAATATGGATATCTGTGACATATTTTGTCCTAAAAAGAATAACATTTTATAAAAATTAAAGGTTGATTTAGGATAGAAATCCATTTATTCTGCTTGGGCGAACTATTAATTTGGGCTATAAGTGATCACATTATATATCTGGCTGAGTTGCATCCAAAAATATGATAGATCTATCTGCTACAACTGTTAAAGACGTTAACTTTTAAAGGTTAGCTTTAAAAAGAGGAAGAGAAACCTGATTTTGCAACTGCAATTCATACATGTAATCCAGCAGCCTACGCACAGTCTACTACAAAATAAAACAAAAGTAAATGGGACTCTCCAGTCTTGTTGTCAACATGAAAGCTGTTGCAATAAAGTCACGACATTTGCAAAACGATCGGCATGTAAGCGAAAACAGTCAACATGATGAAATGTATTAGTTTATTACAAGCAAACAATCATACAGTACATTAATACTGTGGAAATGTTGAATCAATGTTCTTGGCCCACGCCATGAGCCCTCCACAGATGTCCTTTACGGTGAAACTGTCCATTTCTGACCCGCTCATCTTTTCCAAAATCTGCACTGCCTTCTGGGAGTCATTACCCAGCTTACAGATGACATAAACTAGAAGAAACCAGAGCAAAAAAAAGTCAATAAGTTGGAAACTTCATTATGTTTTCAATGTGTATTTCCTGCTGCAAGGAAGCAACACCTGAGAAGAGATTCAGCAGACGTCATAGTATAAAAGGGTTAAACAAAGCAGCTAATAGAAACACCTGAAAGCTAAATTTGTCTTTCTTAATAAGAAACTCCCCAAAATAACATTTTGAATATTGATTTCTCTAAAGCAGTGCAGCTACTCAGGTCGACTGTACTTGTTTTGGAAAAGGTCACCTAGCAACTCCGTTACAAACCGATCAAACTAAGCCTTCATTGCTGCAGCATGAGACCACAGCGGGCCATGAATATGAGAAAGTGGCTCGACGAGCCTGTTTGTTTCGAACCACAGACGCAGATCATAGACGGTGATGTACCTGGAGGGTGGCAGTCACCTGCCATCTGCTGCTTCAGCTGGATGATTCTTTGCTGAAGTAACCGGATATCTTCACTCTTTCTCTGCTCTAAACTGGAGAGGGGGATATCTGGTAGCAATTAAGGAGAATTTTTAAGAAACAGTATGCAGGGAGATTTTTTTTGTCTTTCTTTGAATGGTGCATTTCCATTGCAATACAAAAGGATACTGAGAGAGAAGGGCAAGTGACAGATATCCACTTCCACAAGAGGGCGGACATCAAGCAAGATATGATGGCCCGAGTTATCCACCACGGATTTATATTCCTGGAATTATAGACAAACATATAAAAGCATGTATAGAAACCTAAATGCATTTAATATTTTATCTTATTTCCTTAGTTCCTATGCTCCACTTATCTGGAACAAACTTCCAGAAAACTTTAAAAGTGCGGAAAGCCTGAGTTCCTTTAAATCAAGACTAAAAACACATTTGTTTAGGATTGCCTTTGACTGTTCTAGTTAAACAGTTCAACTAAAACATATTTTTAGTCCAACTGTTTTTAATATTCTTTTTTGTTTCTGCATTTTTTATTTTATTTTATTTATTTAGTTATTTATTTATTTATTTTTTCTACTTGCTTTGATTCTGTTTTATCTTCCTGTATTTTAATCATGTAAAGCACTTTGCATTGTCTTTGTACTGAATTGTGCCATACAAATAAATTTGCCTTGCCTTGCCTTATTTAGGAGAATTAAATTAATTCTAATGATTATGACTAACAACTATTTAAAAAAATCATTGCAATGAAAAGGGGTTTCCAATGAAGAAATTAAATGTCATATATGATCATTTGGGAAATATCAAACGTTGCTGGGTGGTTATTAGTGCTTAAACAATTAATTGGATTAATGGTGATTAATCGATTATTGAAATAATCATCGACTAATTTAGTAATCGCTGAATCCTTAAATGGATTATAGAGACTCTAAAAAGGTACTTATTGCTGACAGAGCAATCCAACTGGAGCAGCAATCATACCAAAACTCTAAAAAAAAATATCTATAAACATTTAGCCTTTTAGAAGAAAACCGTTTTTTCTCTGTCAGTATGCTTTATCCAGAACTGGAAAGGTTCTGGAAGTGGAAAGGTTTTAGTTCCACCTGCTTAAATTTCACAAAAATCTGCTGTATGATTATTAATCCATTAATCGAAAAAACTAATCAAGTGAACAATCAATTAATCAAATAATAATTGGTTGCAGCACGAGAGGTAATAAAGTGATAATTCCAAGCATATAAATTAAAATTAGGAAAACTTGCAGGATATGAAGTTAAGCTTATTTAAGGGTTTGGAGGAGTTTAAAGGGGCAAAGAGTGTAACTACAGTCTGTCTGTCACCAGACACAGTCCTTTCTGGGAGATTGTCTATAATTGTTGGATTCAGTTATGCCACTCCTGAACCCAAGATATATTATTATGTTACCTGGGTCAAAGGAAAAATTAACTGGACCCTTGCTTATTGGTCCAAAGTCATATTTTTAGATGAAAGTAGTTTTGAAATCCACCCTGAGCTCCCTGCTTTAATGACCCTAGATCAGGGGTAACCAATTAAAAATTAGTTGGGTCTGATTAAAGAAAATCATCAACCAGTGTAGGTGCACAGACATTTTTAATTTTAATCTGTTACTTTAAACATAATTTAACATTAAAATAAAATGCAGGATTGTATGCATCCATATTTTACAATGAATTTTTAAATAAAATAAAAAAATGTTTTCCATTTTAAAATCTAAAGTGTTTTTTGAAGTAGAGAACAAAAATCGTTCAGTTTGGTATATACACAATTTCCTGTTTCACATATTTTATAAAACATGAACTGTTTGTTTTTCTTTCTTTTTCGTGGCTTAATGAGAGCAGTGGGCTTTAGGCTGCCCTGCAAGGATTTAAAAGGTGCATATCAAGATCGATATTTATTTTTGATTATATTCAAGGTGGAGAATCCTGCTTCACAGCAGCAGGTTGATCCAAACATAATGTAAAAAATGTAAAATGTGCAGGGTCATCTCTGAGAAAACCATTTCACTTTTTTTCCACCAGTTCATTGCAGTTCTTCCAGCAGTCCACACTTTCTCTGCTCTTTTTCTCATCGTCTTCTCCTTCTTTACCATCGCCTGGCTTACCAAAAGTTTGCCTGCTGTGTCTAAAAGTAGCAGCAGCAATAACCCAGACTGAAGCAGCTCATTGGCTAATTTGTATCAGGTGTAGCCTGGTCCTGGACGCTCCGAATGGCTTTACCATATTAACAGGAGAAGCAGCGTAAGTGAAATTAGACACTGTCGTCGGACAACATGTGGTAATTTATAAATCTTTTAAATCAGGTTGGGTCCGGATTAATCTGGAGGTGGGTCCAGATCCAGACCACAGTCCGCTAATCCGTGACCTCTGCTCTAGAAGCATGGTTCAAGCAAACCCACCTTATCAAGGCCCAACAGAGAAATCTGTGTGACATCATCAAGAAGAAGCCAAAGCAATGTAGGCTTCCTTAGGAAACCACACTGTGATGAATCTGCATCTCTACAAGTTTCACTTTTTGAAATGAATCAATGATGATATTAAAATTCAAAAAACATTCTGTTTATTAACATACATCTTAACACTAACAACTGCTTGAGTAGAACAAAGCGGTGGCTCATATCTATTTCTAAGTTAGAAATGTTGATAGGTATCTTAAGTTAGAGAGGGAAACCAAAATGACTCAGTAAATGCTAAAAAGTTGCCTGGATCTGCAATTCTGAAGTTAAATGAACAGTTTAACAGCTTTGATTTAAATCACGGGAAGCAAAACTGTTTCTAAATTGAGTCCCCTGCATAATTACAGCTGAACCCCGATCAATCACGATCCCCATCTCTGCGCTTAATGACTCAGCGGGTTTTAAAGCACCAATTCAACAGAAATATAAACAGATGCAATCCGCTACCACTGCTCTCAGTGCCAAGGAGAAAATGTTGTTCTTTCCCTTAGAAATTCTGCAGGCACATTTTCCCTCATTTCCCATTTGAGGCTGGGTCAGAGCTGAGATTTAATCTGCTTATGAATGCATATAAAAACTGAGAAAATTGAGAGTAATCATAGAATAAATGGTGCTAAGAGCAGGGAGTCACGCAATGACCCGACTGTTCTGAAGTATGTGCAAAACTTTACCTGCACTGTGATCCTCTGATCCTTGGACAGGAGGTTAAGCTTTCGACACTGCAAAGAGATCAGGAGATCAAACAGTTTCAGGTTTAATAATGTGATAAAAACAGAAATTATAAATGTCAGACTAGATACAAATATTTTATTTCCAATATCTGTTGTTCTCCAGATACGGTTTCTCAATTTTACAAGCATTTTTACAACACTCTGGGCATTCAGGCACAAAACATTCCCCAAACTAACCATTTATTTGTGCTTTTTCCACAAATCATAAAGCATCATGATGCTGAACCTCTGGAGATGTGTGCTAAAGGCATAACTTATTGTTTCTTTGGCTTCTTGATCAAGCTTTCTGAAAATCGAAACTTCAGCAATCCAGATCGGATTAATCTACAATAAATGCAAGTTTTTCAAACCTTAGCTTTGATTTGTGATGCATTCTCTTTTTCTTTTGCGCAGTATTTGGCATACAGAGACGTTAAAAAACAACAGGTGGGGTTTTAAAAAATTGCCCTAAGAAGGTCTATAGAACAAATAGGCAGAAAAAGCCTGTTATCTTCTTGCAGCTCTAGCTAGCGACCAGCTTAAGGACTACAGTGAGTCACTAAAACATATGAGCTATGAAGGTGCTCTGATTTAACAATGGCTCCTCAAAAAACTAATCTTGTTTATATGTACTGGTGAAGATTGTCAGTCATCCAGGTCATAGTCAATCCAAAAGAAAGTTAAAGAACAATCCACTGGACTTTTTTTCCAAGTTTGAAGACGTTTCGCTTCCCATTCAGGAAGCTTTTTCTATTAAAATGTCAGGATTAGCATTGATTTCAAGGTTTCATTCAGTAGCCCATTAAAGCCTTGTTTTTGTTTTGAAAACATGCTATTTGAAACGGATGAATGGGTCCACCCCTTTGGACAGAGGGGGTGGACTCAGATGTCAGCTTTCAAAAACCTACAATGCAGCAATTGAGTTGATCCCTTCCCACTATCATCTCAGTCCCAACCCCTGTATAGGAGAGCCTATTCAACCAGGCCAACAATTCCCTTTAACAATGACCTTTCAGAGACACAGACAGGTATGGGGCATTGCAGGCTGACAAAGAAGCCAAACGACCCCCATTCCAGAGGGGTGGAGCCGTTTGTCCTTTTTAATTTCAATGTTTTCAAAACAAAAACAAGGTTTTGAATGGCTATCGTATAAAACTTTGAACTCAAACTATTCCTGACATTTTAAATAGAAAAGCTTCCTGGATAAGAAGCAAAACGTCTTCAAACTTGGAAACAAAGTCCCGTGGATTGTTTTTTAACCTTTTTTTTTTTTTTTTGGAACATCTTGTTTATACAGTAAAAGAGCATTTTAAATTAACTTGATTTTTTTTTTTTATCTGCAGAATCCCAGCTATTTATATTCCATATATTTAAGCACTTAATGTTTTCAGGCTTTGAAAAATGATTTTTTTTATCCTACTTACATCTTTTTAATAAAGGATTAGGTATTTCTAATAGTATTTCATCTTAAACTTCTTTATTTCATACTCATCTAAACAATGCATTTTGATATTTTTAAGACTGTGTAGAAACCCTGTGATAAGCTCTTTTAATACCCAACCTTATCTGTGGCAGCAGACCCACAGAAAGCCTCATAGTCAATCAGCTGCGTCACACTGGGGCTTTCTCCACACGCCGCACAGCCAGCCTGCTTGGGCCGCAGTCTGATGGACCTGAATCTGAAAGCCTGAGCGTCAAACATCAGCAGCTGCTGAGCGCAGGACGCTGGCACGCCAAGTCAAGGGAAAGGTTACTGTCTGAGAGGAGATTCAGAGAATTGACTAAAACGTCTCCCGCTGGTGCAGTAAGAGCACGGCAGCAGTCTGTGAGTTTCGGTGGAAAAAAGCTGTAACGCTTCCCTGAATGACGCATCGTGGCCAGGTGTCCGCATGCAGCGGACAATGCAACACAAAGGGCAGGATAAAGCAGACCTATTCTCCACTGAGAACCAGAATAAATCCCAGCAGTTTCACAAGACAATGGCAAATAAGCAGAAAGCAGAGTCCAGAAAATGTAGACAAAATATTTGTGTTTTTGTTTGCTTATCAGACAAATACGAGGAATTATTATAATACAGTCTTTCATTGTTGCCATATCCTGATGTCAGAGCAAAAAAAAAGGAAAAAACTAAAAGAGAAAAACTTAAAACAAAGGAACAAAACAACAAGGGAGAGTTTTATATGTAAGGTGGAGCAACGGAATTAGACATAAAGGATACAACCTTGCCCTGAGGCAATTTTAAGGACCTCTAAAGCTTGGAAGCAGCCCATAATACCTGGAACTGGAATAAAAATGAGTTGCTAAGAACACATTAAATAGTTTCAGATGAAATAAATTAGAAAAGAAAACAGAGGGGGAAAAAAACAACTCACCCACTCCTAACACCCCTCCATCAGAACAGTTGGTTACCGTCTCTGGGGGTGGGGGCCGTGGGTATAAACATCTGTAGCAGGGGCCTCCCTGATAGTTGTACACCGTCAACTGCAAACAAACACACACAAAAACAATGCAGTAGCTCCCAAAAAAGGTTTGGCATGCCGAGGGAGGACACACAGCCTACCTGCCCTTCCAGTCGCAAAGCACTCGCAGACACCAAAGGTCTGCCGCTGAGCACGCAGGCGTCATTCACCAGGTAACGGGTGGGAACGTTGTCTGAACAGTCCGCCACAATGTCATATATGAAGTCAGGGGAGTCAAGGCATCATGAAATAAATGACTGATGTTTCTGGCCTGTCAGCTAGTGTTTGTGATTTCATTCCCCTCTCCCTTCTGCTCTGACTGTTCATTTGGCCTTCCTGTGCTGCTGCTCAGCTTAATTACCACTGATTCCTCCCAACTGTTTGCCAGCCTTCATAAGCAGGCCTCTGACTAGTTGACAGTGCCAGATTGTCTGAAAGCCTTGGTTAGTAAGGATCCAGCATTTTTCTCTGTCTGTTTACCTGATCCTGACCTGTTTCTGCCTCCCGATTTTTGAGCCTGCCTAGCCCCTGTTGAACCTGTTTTTTTGTGCCGCCTGGATCCCTGACTTGTTTCTGTGCCCTGACTTTGTTGCTGGATTCTGTTTTGGATTCTCTGAATTTCTGATCACCCGGCTGGCTCTGACCATGGACATCTTTTGACCACTATTACCTCCCAAGACTCAGTGAGAAATAACTCTCTAATAACCAAAGTTTCAGGAACCAACATATTAAAAGAGGCTCTGGTTCCCCTGATCCTGAATTACCTGCAGATTTTCTACAATAAATCTTTTAAAGTTATTACCCGTTGTGTTCTGGTTATATCTGGGTCCTCGGTCTGAATCATGACAGACTGAATATTACCGTAAGAAATTCCTGTCCTCAAACACTTCTTGGATAACAAAAACATTTTAACATAAATGTGACCGACTGCAGATGATATGCAGGATCATTATAATCTGAGGTCTAAACATAAGAATCCACTGCCTATCCAAAACAGCCTTACATTGATTAATAATGCTACTTAATAATGCTGTTCATTTAAGCATAAAAAGGCTCTCTCTAAAAAGATAATGCCAAGATTCATTGTAACATGTTTCAAGTTGTGCAAGAGAGTTTTTTTTTTTTTTTTTTCCCAGGAGAGACACTTTGAATAATGAATTGGCCACAGGCTTCAGACCTTAACCGTACCGAGAATCTCTGGATGTGACTGAGAAGACTTTGCAAAAGCGGTTCAATTTCCAGCATTATCTAAAAAAGATCTGGACAAAAAAAAGTTTTGTAACTCTGCGTGGAAAGAAGTTCTGTAACGTTGCACACGCTGATCGAGAAAATGTGAATGTGTGACGCACTCAAAGCTAAGGGCAGTGCAACACAACACTGAAGAACATTTGTTTTAAACTGGCAGTAAACATCAGGAAATGTTTATTCTTCCGCAGAAAATAATAGATAATGCACATTTTCTCTGTTTAACCCATCTAGCAAATTATCTATGGTAAAGTCCACGAATTAAGAGATCATTTTTATTCTTGAATACTGTAAAATGTTTGTAATAAACGAAGCTCCCACTAATATAACTGACATATTCTTCCGCAGAAAATAATAGATAATGCACATTTTCTCTGTTTAACCCATCTAGCAAATTATCTATGGTAAAGTCCACGAATTAAGAGATAATTTTTATTCTTGAATACTGTAAAATGTTTGTAATAAACGAAGCTCCCACTAATATAACTGACATATTTTATTGTTCATAAAATGTTGTTTAAAAAACTAATAAATCTGGTTTGGGAATAAATAAAAAAGGCTAATATTAAGCTTCTACTGTTGGCCCAACTTTACTGCTGACGACAAAAATGTATGCATCTTTTTTAAAGACAGTTTTCAGACTGTTGAACTCTTAACTGAACTCTGCATCACTATTTTGCACCATCAATATTGCCGAGCTTTTATAATTCCTTTTAAAAAGGAAAACACTCATTGTTCTACTGTATTTTGCACCATATTATTTTGCACTGCACTGAACTTTTTCATATTAATACCTTTTTGCACCATTATTTCAAACAGTTTTTCTCCTACATTTTTACATTGTGATAACTGCTGCACTTAATAGTGTAATGTTATCTTATTCCAGCTGCAATCTCATTACACGGTTGTAAGCTGTATGCAACGAAATTTCGTTTTGTATAGTCTGTGCATACATAATGAGAATAAACTTTGTTCAAGTCTAAAAGGCACGTCCATGTATGCATGAGAAGAACATGTAAGCTCCATGCAGAGAGACCCCAGGTTCCTGTACGCCGCACAGTGCAGCCCCAGTTTGAATTATAGTATGTATAAATTTAAACTTTAGCATCTTATTTGATTAAGTTCAGAACAATATGTTGTATAATCTCTCCAGCCTGGAAAAAAACAGAACTGTTTAGATAAATCTTAAGAAGCCACAAATTATTAAGACAGTTAAGACAGGAACTATAAGTAGGATTTATACAGATAGTATTTTAGTTGTCGGCAGATAACAGATGTAGCCTTAGGATACTGTTGAATAAGCTGTAAGGCATTCTCTGGTGAGAGCTGCAGATGGTAGGGAACACACTCCACGGTAGAATTCAGCCTGCGGAGAAACATTCAGACAAAGTATCACATTTCGTTTCATTAAAAATGCTATATATATATATATATCGGCTTTCGTAGAGTTAAAAAAATGCACTCTTTGGTTTAAACCTAAAAAAGTAAAGTGAGAAAAGTAAGAAGTCAGAAATGTTCCCAATTCTTAATATATTTTTAAAGTCAAGTAAAACATGAAAACAAACTTTGACACTAAACCATTCTGTTACGATAATTATCATCGATGATGTTTGAGTTTATTACACCTTAATATTAGCCGTCTGTTGGATGTCAGAACTTATGTTTTCCGCAGTAGGTTATCTAATTAAGGCAGTTCCTCTGTCCGGATACACAGTTATAACCCTTAACAATTCCCTTAAACATTTGGATATATGTTTCTATTAACTCCCAGACTTCTATAATGTATGGTATAGATCAGAGGTGACAGATTAGCAGACCGGGGTCCGGATCTGGACCCACCTGCTGGCTAATCCGGACCCAATTTGAAACATTTATAAATTATTGCATGTTGTCCGACGACAGTGTTTAACTTCATTTGTGCTGCTTCTGTTAATATGGTAAAGCCCTCCGAAGCGTCAAGCACCAGGCTGCAAGCGATACAAATTAGCCAATAAGCTGCTGTCAGTCTGGGTTGCTGCTGCTGCTACTTTTAGACACAGCAGGCAAACCTGTGGCAAGCCGGGTGATGGGACAGAAGGAGAAGAAGATGAGGAAAAAGAGAACAGAGAAAGTGTGGATTGCTGGAAGAACTGTGGTGAACTGGTGAAAGAAAAGTGAAATGGTGTGCTCAAAGATGACCCTGCAGATTTTGAGTATGTTTGGCTCTACCTGCTGCTGTGAAGCAGGATTCTCCACCATGAACAGAATCAAAAATAAATATGGATCCAGGCTCACAAATGAGCACCTTGATATGTGATTGAGAATGACTTTGTCTCCATTCAAACCCAGGTTTAAAGCCTTGCAGGGCAGAATAAAGCCCACTGCTCTCATTAAGCCATAGAAGAGAAAGAAAAAAAACAATCAGTTCAGGTGTTTTATAAAAAAGTGACTCAGGAAATTGTCTATATAACAAACTGAAAGATTGTTGTTTAATTTTTTATTTAAAAAGTCAATGTATGTCATGGATGCATAAACACCTTCTTTTTATTTCAGTGTTAAACTCTGTTTAAAGTAACTATTATAATAAAAAATGTCTCCGGACCTTTACTGGTTGATAATTTTCTTTATTGGGACCCTACTGATTTTTAATTGGTTACCCCTGGTATAGATTCATAAGTAGTTTTAATCAGTGCACAGGTTAGCAGCTAGTTAGAGAAATGTCGCCCTCAAGTGGCTGATATTAAGCAGCATGTAGACAGTCCACAGTAGACCCACTGTTGGGCTAGAAAGGCCCACAAACATGCTTCTAAAATAACATGTTTACAAAATATTTGTGGACTGAGGAGAAATGCACTGTTAAATATAACCTGTGGTGAGACTGTTAAGCGCCAGCTTACATTGCACAGCAACCGAAGGGTAAAAAAAAAACCCAAAAATATACAAACTACTACAGCTGCAAAACACTTGGTAGCAATAACTGATTTACCAAAGAAAAGCGTAATAAAACTGATACAAAGCTGTTACCTTTTTACTGCTGTAGCTGCAGACAGAGCCTTAGCCTGGCCCTGATTCTCCTCTCCATGGAGAACCTGCCTGTGGAGGTTGCTGAGCTCCACTTCATCATAGTCCAGCAGACCAAGACGCCCTGTCAGTGAGACTTTATCATTACCTTCCATCCTGTGTTGCAAACTACCTGACATCAAAATGAATCTCGAAATAAAATATAAGAATCTTTAAATGCAGCTTTAGTTTGTGGTTAACTCTACCAATCTATTCGCCTCTTCAGTCTGCATGCATCCACCTACCGATGCCTGCTGCTGCTAGATACTGGGCGAGTGGACAACCTAGTCCACCGCAGCCCACGATCAGCACAGATGTCCCAGATAAATTCAGCTGGCCTGAAAAGAATATAGAACCGCTCAGCTCCATTATTAATCTAAAGTTCATTTCTAAGCTCCTGTCCTTCGGTTTGTGTGAGCACCTTTTACACCGAGCTCAGGCAGAAGGAGCTGTCTGCTGTACCGCATGATGTCCTCATTGCTGAGCGCTGGTTTGGCTGTTAGAGGACTAAGCTGCATCACTTTGTCCTGGAGTTCCAGCACTGAGGCGTGGTTCTGTTAAGCACATGAGAAGAGCACTATAACATGAGACCTTTTGGTATTTTCTATAACAGAAAGGCTTTAATATACATCTCAAGCTGATATGTTTATGATATGATTATAAGAAACATATATTACAAGGAAATCAGGTTCAGCTATTTTGTTTTTTAAGTTAATTTTGCATGGGAACCAATCAATGAATTTGCTTTTAAATCCCATATTCTATTATATATATTCAGCAACATAAGCTACCATAACTATGCAGATGACACACAGCTGCACATATATTATAATGTCACTATGTGACTATGAACCTATTTAAAGTGCTGGTTAAATGCATAGAATAAATGGGACGGATTTTTCTTCAGCTGAATGAAAACAAAACTGGAGTAATAATTTTTAGACCAAAAGAAGAGCGTCTCAGACTTGGTTAATTTAGCTAAAAACCATCAATTAGGATTGAAATCTGGGTGAAATGATGGACTCAGATCTGAAACTTCAGATTCACATAAAGAGCATCACAGCTTATCACCTAAAGAACATCTCCGCAGGTTAAACAACGTATGTCTCAGCAGCACCTTGAAAAAATTATACACCATGTGTTCCTCTTTAGTAGAACTGAATCCTGCAAAAATGTCATCACAGGTCTGCATAGAAAGTTGATCAGAGTTGATCCAGAATCCTGCTGCCAACATCCTCACTAGCACTAAGAAAGTGGAGCACATCACCCTAGTTCTAAAATGTTCTCAGAGAAAAGTAGACTGTTAAATAACTGTTAGTCTAAAAATCACTGAATGTTTTAGCTCCAGACTGTATTACAGTTTTAGTTCTTATGTTCCACTAATTTGGAATAAACTCGCAGGAAACTAGAAGTGCAGAAAACCCTAAGTTGCTGTAAAAGATAAATAAAAATGCATTTGTTTAGAGCGACCTTTGATTGTTCTAGCTAAACAACTTAATTTCTTTTTTTTTTAATCAATCATTTTACTTTTTAGTATAATAGTATTATTTTCACAATTTGTTTTTAACCTCTTCAATTATTTGTTTTACCTCTATGCCCCAGTCATCAAGCTTTCTCTTTGAATTGTCTCACAACTGAAATCTGCTTTATAAATAAACTGGCTTCTTAAAAAAATGTAAAAATAAGAAACATTTTGTCTACTTAAAATCAACAGAATTAGACTAAAGTTGCATGTAGCTTTCAAACAATGTTACAAATTATTTTTATCCAAATCCTCCAATTATAACAACCTTATAACCATAATTCAAAATCTATTGTCAAATAAATAAACATAATGAATTGAGTTAATAATATAAATGAACTTTTTAACAAAAAACGAATTCTGAGTCAGCTGTACGGACATGATTTCTCTTTGCATGTATTAATAATCTATAACTGTAATAGTGACTTTGCATTAAAAGGAACTTCAAAGCGGTATTTTATTGAGTTCAAAGGGTCTAAAGGAGCATTTTAATCAGAGATTAGATAAAGTCATGCCAGCTTAGGTCACTAGCTTTTTCCAAGTTCTTAAATATCCTCAATATTTCAGCTCATCAAAGTGTAGTAAAAGTCCCATTGGGGGCATTCTGGCAGCTTTTAGCCTCAATAGATATGTTGAATTTGTTTTCAAGATACATTTTGGAGAAATTAGGGACAAGGTTCACTTCTTACAGCAGTGCAGCTAATTGATTGTTTTATTTTTAACACCCTCAGTAAAAGAAATTGCATAGTACATAATTGCAAAGTTGAATGCACTGGATAGTTGTAAAGGATTAGAAGTACCAATACACATACATTGCATTTGCAAACCCTTTATCCAGAGGTCAGAGGTCATTTTGGATTTTGAGGTTTGGGTTGGACAAACCTCAAAACTCTGTCAAATGGAGTTAAACACATGTCTTAAGTTAAAACTGTCCAAATGCAAAATATTATTATTTTTACTAAAGCTATTTGAAATTTAAATTGCATATTTTAGATGAATGTACTGGATCCTGCTCTATTAAAGTTTTCTGCACCCATTTAATAGATAACTAAAAGGAATTAAGGTAAAACAATGTTAAAACAACAGCACATCTGTGTTTCTTGATTACAATCGTGTTACGATAAGCTCTCACTTAGAATAACAGCTGAATTTTTACTGATCCTAATGAAAACGATCATAAACACTTCGATACCTTTTCAAGCTGTTCCAGTTTGTTCTTGAGAGCAGCGATCTCTTTTTCTTTCTCCATTAGCTGCCTCTTCCAGTCGCTCTCTTCCTGAGCCATCGCTTCACATAAACAGAAAAGCAGCGCAGTTTTTAGATACAAAACAAATGAACTCACAGGCTGCAAGATGTTGACATATGAGACACGCGATGTCAACTTCCGGGTTGTCTACGTAGACTCTGACCACGTGGTGCGTGACGTAAAACAATCTTGCTTTTTTTGTGACTGATTTTTTCCAATCTTATTTCAGTTTAATATGGTAAAAAAAAATCAGAAATATGATTTTTTTTCCTCAGAATTCTGAGACAAAAGTCAGAAATCTGAGAAAAAAGAATTATTTTCTTCTCAGAATTCTGATTGTTGTCTCAGAATTTTGACTTTAATCTCGGAATTCTGACTTTAATCTCAGAATTCTGACCTTTTTTTAGAATTCTGACTTTAATCTCAGAATTCTGCCCTTTTTTTTTGCCTTTAATAAATAAAAAATGGAAAAAATTAAACAACAATTAATTAGATTTTCTGAATTAATTTCGAAATAAAAAATTCAATATAAAAGATTTGACACTATTAAAGACTGAATTGGAGGACACACTGTGTGTGTGTGTGTGTGTGTGTGTGTGTGTATGTGTGTGCGTGTGTGTGTGTGTTTGTGTGTGTGCCTCATGACGCGCAGTGGAGCTGGGAGCCTCAGGCACTCCCCTCCTGCCTTTCACATGATCTGAAAGCTCCCTCTGAGATAGAGACAGGAATGTGGAAAGGAGCGACAACATCGATGGCTGAGCAAAGCCACAGGCTTTCTATAATGCGTTCATTTTATACTGCGTTAATTGGGCTGACATTCATCTTTCACACCGATGGAGTCCCTTGGACAGAGGAAAAGGTAAATCAATTAGATGGGATTCATTTATGCATTGCTGTTATAGGATACACTGTATCTGTGTGAGTGAGGCAGTCTCTTAACATTTTTGCACGGTCTAAAACTGAATTTAATCTATGATTGTTGATGTTTTCAGTTTGACTTATTCCTTTGTTGTTTAAGGTTAATTGGCCATGTTTAACATACAGTTTACCTGCATTTCAGGTGTTATCTTGATCACAATTCCTTAAACAAGTATAAGCATTTTATGAGAAAATTATTCATCCTTATCAATTTTATTAATTCAAAATTTCCTTGTGATCCGCCTGGATGTTTTATCTTTACATGTTGCCTATCTCTGTTCATCTCTTGTCCCTTTAACTAGTTGCTATGGCAGCACAGTCATCCTCTTTGATCCCCCAAGTGGTCTTTGAATATACAGACCTTAAATAGACCCTGTTTTCAACCCACTCTAAAGCTTAGTGGACTCCAGCCTTATATTCAGCCACTGAAACCATGTAATTATACTGTATGTGCCACTACGTAGCAATTAAAGGACAGATGCATGAGTCAGCCAGAGCGCCTCCAGTTTGAGCTTCAAGCAGGTTTTGCAGGTCATTGTTTTTGCGGAAGAAAATGTGCTCAAATACCATTCAACCGAAAAACATGTCTGAATGTTTATTTGAGAAAGAGAGTATTCATATAGTAAAGTCTTAAGCAGTGCTTGAAAAAGTAGATTTCTTTTTGCATTAGTTTTTATATCAAAAAATATTGCAAAATGGTTTGTTTTAAAGCAGCTTTTGATAGAATAATTTAAAATAGTATTTGTAATATAATTATTTTATGAAATACTTTTTGAAGCTCCTTTTAAAAGGCCTTTTTTTATAGCCTTATAAACATCCGGAATAGGAAAGAAGGCATTTCTTTCATTCAGTCTGAATGATTCAGAGACGACCGGCTGTGTGCTGCCTTCAGCTTATTTTCCTTCACCTTCATTTGGCGGTTTGTTTCCAGGACAACCAGGCGTCCACATGTGAACTTTGGCACCAAAGAGCCATAGGACCAATCAGGATCAATATGTTTATTTTTTCTTTCAAATAGCAAACATAATTTTCCTGCTGCTGTTTTAACTGCAAAGTATTCTCATAAACAAGAAACATTGATTTCTGTTATCTTGTCTATTCCATGGATTTGACCTTTACTAATCGGTGGGTATGGTTAAACTAATAATAGTCCATTTCTTTTCAGGGAGCTATTATCAGGTCTCAGGAGATGGTTTTAACAGTTCTTGTAGAAAACAATATGTTTTAAAGAGTGACAACATGGAATAACTGTTGGCATTTTTGTTAAATCAGTTTTAGTGTTGTGGCACGTCGTCATTGACAGGAATAAGTTCCTATATCAGCTCAAACATATTAAAAATTGACTGAATTATGTTTTTATAGATCCCCACTTAAACCATGAATCAGCAGCTTTGAAGCCACATTGTAAATTGTCTGGTTCTTTTCTGACTTTAAGGGAATGCTACACCTTTTGTTTGATACACTCAATTCAAAATAGAGTTGGATATTTGTCTTCTTTATAGAAGACATACAACCATGTTTTGTAGCTATGAAAAAAACATTACACATCTAGAGTTTAAAAAGAGTTTATCTGTCAATCCCCTGCATCTGTTATATGACAACAAAATAGTTGAAATTAAGTTGCTGCTATATATATATATATATATATATATATATATATATATATATATATATATATATATATATATATATATATGTGATGTGCCTTGCAGGAGAACCAAAACATTGCTTGCAAGGGGACCAAAAACTCAACTAAATCTTTATCCTCTGCTTTGTTTTGCTGTTTAATGCTGAAAGATTGGGGAGCACACAAATATAATTTGTTTCACTGCGGGTTTTCTTTTTATATTTGAAATTTCTAGTGGGACCTATTTTCTCTTCTTCTGAGCCCCCCTCAGTCAAGGGCCCTTGGAATCGTCCTAAATTTTTCACCCACATACAGGACCCCTTCATCAATCCATCCACCATCCACCCATCCATCCATCCACCCATCCATCCATCTGTACCTCAATAGTTCCATCCATCCATCCTTCCATCCATACATCCATACATCATCCATCCATCCATCCATCCATCCATACAAAATCCATCCATCCATCCATCCATCCATCCATCCACCAACTATCCATACATCATCCATCCATCCATCCATCCATCCATCCACCAACTATCCATCCATCCATCCATCCATCCATCCATCTGTACCTCAATAGTTGCATCCATCCATCCATCCATCCATCCATCCATCCGTACCTCAATAGTTGCATCCATCCATCCATCCATCCATCCATCCATCCATCCATCCATCCATCCGTACCTCAATAGTTGCATCCATCCATCCATCCATCCATCCATCCATCCATCCATCCATCCATCCG